GGTTCAACTTTCTTGCATCAATTCATTCCTATCTTAATGACAACAATAAAATGTACCGCGCATCAGGAAGCTTTTAATGAAGGATGGTTTAATATCAAAACTGTTTTATCCCATTTTTCAAATAATCTTCATAATGTAAAGATATATTATTGTTGATATAATAGTGTTTCTGCAATACCGCTTGAATGGCGCATTTTGTGGAATATTTTATTATTGATAATACTAATGAAAATAAAATACTATGCTATCCAATGAATGACTTCATTAGCATGTTGTCCAATAAATAACTTCATTAGCATGTTGATTTAAAAGGATGACTCAAAAAGATGATCAAATTGTATGCTTGCAAAGTTGCTGTGTTTTTTTCATTGCTCTATCAATAACTTTTAGAATTATGGTGTTTAGCAAAAGAGAATATGAAAAACATATTTTAAACTCTCTATTTTAAATTCGCATTTAATCTTTTTTTTTTGTCTGAAATGGAGAGTAAAACAGCTTTGTCAAGTGTGTCACATGCAATTAATAATTCAATTTTGCAGTTGAATTTGTGACCATTAAATGTTAATGAATTATCATTAAATGTTAATGCATTTTCCATATCGATTCTGATATCATGTGCTGCAATTTATAGCAAAAATGCTGGGCAGTACCAACACACTCGTAAGTCATAAATGAGAAAAATAAAACTGAAAAATGTGATACAAAGGAGTCAAAATCAACTAACTTTGTGGTAATCATTTGACAAAAACGCACGACATAATATTTCAAAAAATTAGTGTTATTAATGAAACTATGATAAACAACATGTTAATCATTATTCCGCTTGTAAAACACTTTGCTTATCGCATCCATTCTTCCCGTTTCACAAAAATATTTTCATCAGTGTATGATCATAATCAGTTCTTCAATTTGAATCTATCAACCAGATAAAACATATAGTCATTTAATTTTAATGAATTGTGCTTATTCGTCTGAATTTTCAGCTGCTGGATGGATGTTTCAGGATGTGAAGCAAAGAGTAAGATAGAGACGGCCAAATATAAGCGGTCGTTGTTAATTATTCAGGCAGTGTTTGTTTCTGGTGTAATGGAAGTTGAATTTGTCTGTCTCAACTTCTTGTCGAAGCTTTTTGTAAAGAAATTGAAATTCCCATCAATATTTTCATCAACTGCTACATGATCTTCGTTGGTGCTATGCTACTAACTGTCAATTTAATTTTCGTCAAACAATTTCATAACAACGTGAAACAAGCAATTGTAGAATCGTTATCAAAAATTATGATCAGGAAAAGAATGCTTACTATAGTACATACTGTACCTAAGAGGAAAGTTCACCCAATTGCACAGGTAGATTAACAACAATTGTGTCCTATTTCTGTACAATATAACAAGTTACATTCTTCAAGCTATTCAATCTCAAAATTGTGGCGCCTTCTACCATTTTTAGAGGAATGAGGAATATTTTTTGGTGAATATAAATTATCCAAAATTATTACCTAGAACTTCAATCTAATGATAATAAATCTCCCATCACTATTTTTGTCAACTTTTACATGATTCTCAATGGTACTTCACTGTCTCCACTACCTTTTTAGTTCCTTTCAAACGATTTCGTAACGAAGTCAACTGTGCAGTTGTATATTTGTTTTCTAGAATTTTCAACAACGTTAAATGCTGTGGCTGGAGTTTATTTAATTTATCATTCGATTTTTCTACAGTATTCTAATTTAGCATTCTCCAAGTACACAAATTTGAGCGCTTTACCACTGTGTTTTCTTTTGGTACTTTGAACTAACTCAAGTTTTCACTTCCATAAGTTTCATTTAATTTCATTTTGATTTCATTTCACGGTTTCAAAAATTTCCGACTTTTTTCCGAGACAGTTTTTTCATTTCTGATTTCTAATAATTTTTTACTTCTGATGCGTGCGCATTTTTCAATTGCTGATACAATTTATATATGATGAAGTAGGAAAATTTATTGCATTTCAAGAAACATTGGGAAAAAAAAAAGTAACCACTTAGCGATACTTTCGTTTACGCTATCATTTGCAGCGAATCATATTTTCATTATCTGGAATGAACTTTATGATATTATTTGGGAGGAAAATTTGCTTTAACTTTACACATTATTAAAGCATGCGAAGTTGCACATTGTGAAAAAAAAACACTATTAGTTTATTTGCAAGGAAAAGCTAAGAAGGCATTAAAAAGTTTTATTAGCTAAGTTAAGGGGACTAAAATGCGTAGTTGGGAAAAGCTAAGCTCTTTTCTTCGTTTTATTTCTTCCTTATACTTCCTTATCAAGCCCACAACACGATGGAAAGAACCAAGATTAACATGTTTTACGCTTCTTATCAAGAATAAATTTTCATAAAGCTGAGCTTTCCTTCTTGAGTTAGGAAGAAAATGACAAACTCTTAAACTCCTTCAAATTTTATAGATACTGTCGTGAAAAAATATTATCTGGTTGGAAAAGACTGATGTTTGTGTTATCTAACATGATGCAA